ATTACAATGGAATAGTTGATCCACCATTCTTCAGTCACAGTTTGCATCAGAAGAAGGTAGGGCCTTTCTGAAAAAATGGTGAACCCCAAAACAGTGAGAAAATGGAATTTCCCGTAAGATGTCCAAGCAGATATTGGAAAAAGTCAATAAAGATGGATCTGACCCATATCTTACCATCCTGAACTATTGGAGCAACCCTTAGGTTTTGGTTTGGGGTTCAAGGCTCAGGAATTGGTGGAAGAACATATTATACCAATAAAATATATTAATTATTATTACTGCCTGAAAGCCACAGCTGCACACATGACAAAGAATAAAAAGAATACTTATTCTAGATTAAATAAAGAATGAAAAAGTTCAGAATACATTACTATCAGTATGCTGATGATAAGTAATTTTATATTGATAGTCTATGACAGGGGTGTCAAACTCGAGGCCCGGGGGCTGGATCTGGCTCACGAAGTGTTTATATCTGGCTCGTGGGGCCGCCCTAAAATCAGGAAAGGAGTGGCCTGCGGTGCCTCTGCCAGCGAAAACAGAGCTTGGGAGGGCCGCATGTGGCCCTTCCAGGCTCCGTTTTTGGCCAGCGATGGCCTCCTGCTGCCTTCTGCCAGCTCCATTTTCACCGGCAGAGGGTGGCAGGAAGCCGTCGTGGCTGAAAATGGAACTTGGGAGCCTGTTTTCGCTGGCAAAGCGCTCGGGCCACCACAGACGCCCCTGAAACAAGTTACGTCAAGCTGACCATGCCTACCTGGCCACACCCACCCTGGCCCCTGAGGTCAAACACAACCCTGATGCGGCTCTCAATGAACTCGAGTTCGACACCCCTGCTCTATGACATTGATCCCTAACCTTTGCAGCTTGGTGGCCTTGGCTGGGGGTGGGGAGAGGGGAATCGGGCCATGCAAATGGTGGGCCGGCATGCATGCGCATGTGTGCAGCTTGACTCACATGAGCAGTGGGCTGGTGTGCACATATATGCACACACAGCTCGACTGCAAGTGAAGCTGTGCATGCATGCATGTGTGTGGCAGTCCACCACTTGCGGGAGTCGAGCTGCGTACATGCATGTGGTGGCCCGCGGCCCGGTTGCTTATTCATTGTGGGTGACTAAATGAGCGCTTCCCTCAGCATAAGGCAGCCAGATTCTAGGGAGCGAGCTTATGGTGCTGAAAAAGTGATCAGAGAGTATTAGCGGGAATTTGCTAAAATAGTTTGGTGGGATAATCCCTAACAAATTTTCGCTATAAATTAAGAGTTTGTTCTTGGCTAGCATGGGAGCCTGAGAAGGGAAAATGGTGAAATATAGGCCTTTTTGCTACTAGTGCCTTAAGAAACAAAAGTGAAAATAATGGAGAAGAGTTTGCAACTGTGGCCTGAATTATCATGTATATATTTATGTTCCTGCCTGAAATATAGATAAAGGTAAAGGTTCCCCTCGCACATAATGTGCTAGTCGTTCCTGACTCTAGGGAGCGGTGCTCATCTCTGTTTCAAAGCCGAAGAGCCAGCGCTGTCCAAAGACGTCTCTGTGGTCATGTGGCCGGCATGACTCAACGTCAAAGGTGCACGGAACGCCGTTACCTTCCCACCAAAGGTGGTCCCTATTTTTCTACTTGTATTTTTTACATGCTTTCAAACTGCTAGGTTGGCAGAAGCTGGGACAAGTAACAGGAGCTCACCCCGTTACCCGGCACTAGGGATTTGAACTACTGAACTGCCGACCTTTTGCTCGACAAGCTCAGCATCTTAGCCACTGAGCCACCGCATCCCGATATACATGAAATATACATAGCCTATATTTACAAGCTATGTTACAGGGAGTGCCTGTGTCAGCGTTCCAGCACTGACATATATAAGGAGAGGAGAAGCCTGAACTTTTGCCTACTTAATTCCTTTGAAGATTCTGTCTCCTTGGAGATGGAAGGAGGGGGACATTCCTGTGATCTGACGGAGAAGGGATGAGGAAAGTGGCTTGGAAGATAGCCAATGAGATGCAGAGAATTGGGGATCGGAAAGGGAGGGATTGGGGGCAAAGGTCAGTACTGACCACGAAAGAGCCAGGGATAGATCACTATGCTCAATAAAGAGAAAATTTCCTTAAAGATCGGCAGTTTGGAAATTCCTTTATTTTGAGATAGCATTGAAACCTGATAGCCTGCTTGTAACACTCATTAATTTTTTTTATTTTTTTCAGTATGGTGATTTTTACAGTAGATGGGCTGATTTTCTATAAACAATACAGGTATTATTTTTGGCTGATAAATGTCAAAAATTGGATAGATGAGCTATTTTCCTTTGAGGAATGCTCCAAGGTGGTGAATCCAGATGATTATAAATGAGATTTATACTCATTTAGAGTATTCTGACATAGAACTGAGTTGAAACTAAAAACTATATCTAAACTACATTTATATAACTATATCTATATTTGCTACATTTCATTTGAACAAATGTTGTTCAACTCTAAAACACTCTCAGGTTCCATTCCTTAAGAGAAGTAATAAAACTTCGTGTGGGAGAGTGGTAAGACATTACTGTAGTAAATTAATTTTTACTTTTTTTTAAGCCTTCTTATGGCTTCAGTTAGTCCTTCGAACTCAGCCTTTCTTGTGGGTCTTGAGTGCATGGGCTGCCTTCTCACAACTCACTGGAGCAATGAAGAATAATGAATTTCTTTAGAAATACAGTAAATGCCAAGGGTTGGTGATACCATTCAAAAGGTAGATCATACATCTTACCATATAACCATTCATTACATTGTGCGAACCTCACCCCTCCGCCATGGTGCTGCAGGAGGCCGTGGGGGCCAAAAATGGACCGCGTGCAGCCCCCCCATGGTCTATTTTTGGCAGGCAGAGGCACTGCCAGCTGGTCCTTTGATATTTCCAGGCCGGCCCCGAGGGCCAGATCTAAGCAGCCCATGGGCCGCATCCGGCCCACGGGCCTTGAGTTTGATACCCCTGATCTAGGATGTTTGTCAATGAGGTCGATAATGATGTAGTCAAGAGCTGGATCCCTAGGGAAGAGCTTTGGTGGACTTCCCCTCTCCATGAAATATCTTCATTACACAATGAATACACTAATGTCTTCAGCAATAACATAATGCAGAATAAATGGTTTAAAAACAACAAAAATTGGCAAGAAGCAGTTTATTATCTTTTAAATATCTTAATAAAGGTCATTTAATCTGAGAATGATGACAAAAGGCAGGTATATCTTAAAAAAAACCTCTCTACCTCAGAGATGTTTGAGTAGATACTGCACTTACTAACATAGATGACCATGTATCCATTTAGGAAATATGAGAATATATAACTCCTAACTAAAATCCAATACTATTTCTATCTATTTGAATACATGGTAGGAAAAAAAAGGGGGGGGGGGAATCATACTATGTTTGCATAAATAATGTTCCTCACATACCTTTTAGTGCATTCTCTCTCTCCCTCCCTCCCTCCTTCCCTCTCTCTCCATCCACACTGTGTGTGTGTGTGTGTGTGTGTGTGTGTGTGTGTGTCAGTGGTGGGTTGCTCCTGGTTCGGTCCGGTTCTATAGAACCGGTAGTAAAACCGACGGGAGGCTCCACCCACCCACCACGATGTCATCATGGGTGATCTGTGCATGCGCAGAAGCGCACATGTGCGGTCCTGTTGCGAACCGGTACTAAAGATAAATAGAACCCATCTCTGGTGTGTGTGTGTGTGAGAGAGAGAGGGGGGGGAGGGAGAGAGAGAGAGAGAGAGAGAGAGAGAGATCCCAACATGTGAAAATCTCTATTGCTGTTCATATCTGATTGTCCTTAGTCAATACAAAACCATCTGGAGATACTGCCAGTGGATTTATGATGCCGATAGTTAGGCATAAAGCAAATGTGTTGCTTCTAGCTCAGAAAACCTTTTTAAAAAAACCTGGAGCAGTCATTCTATTCTCTAGCTAAATTGAGAGGCCATTTTGAGAATATATAAAAGTTTAAAATACGTTACTTAAATCCTAAATTATTAGCAGCCATTAAATAGTACTTCATAGTTGTAATAAAAGAATGTATAGTACTAGCACATGCTTTGGCCAGAATTCATGTAAAGTGGTGTAAATTCCATTGAAAAGTTAGACGAAAATCTTTGGGAGCATGTATCCCACTGGAGCCCTTTCCACTAATATTATATAGATCAAATTAGGCAGGGATCCAAGTACTCTACTATATGAAACAAAGCTAGTCACTCTACAGAGTATCACTTTTTCCTTTATAATTCATGGACTTTTTTTCCCCCTAGGAAGTGTTTTAGGTCCATGGATTATCATATTTTGATGCATATTAAGACTTTGCTCTGTATAAGTTATAACTTGAATAAGTTTCTGTGCTGACATCTGATTTAAGGTTGGTTTCATTTAGAGTTCATTATGGTATCAACAATAGTTAAACTATTCAAATATTTTAACACAACATTTCTTAGGAGATTCTTTTTTGTGGGTTCAGAACAGACCAAGGGCTATACTGTCAGTTTAAAACTGGAAATAAAGTTATTTATTTTATTAATTGCGGTGGCGCAGTGGTTAGAGTGCAGTACTGCAGGCTACTTCTGATGATTACCGGCTGCCAGCAGTTTGGCAGATCCAATTTCACCAGGCTCAAGGTTGACTCAGCCTTCCATCCTTCCGAGGTGGGAAAAATGAGGACCCAGATTGTTGGGGGCAATTATGCTGACTCTGTAAACCGCTTAGAGAGCTGGCTGTAAAGCACTGTGAAGCGGTATATAAATCTAAGTGCTATTGCTGTTGATTCCAATCTTGCCTACCCCTTCCCTACTCTTCCTTCCTTCCTTCCTTCCTTCCTTCCTTCCTTCCTTCCTTCCTTCCTTCCTTCCTCTTCCCCTCCCCTTTCTTCCTTTCCTTTTTTCCCCTCCCTCCCTCCCTTTGTGTTTGGGTAACATGCTTATCAAGCAACTGGGAATAATGATAAAGCAAAAGTATAGCCTCTCATCAGTGGGCACATCACTTACCAGTCACTACAGGGTATGTCTGGGGTCCTGACACGTTGTTCCCCAGGTCTGGGTTAGCAGAGGTGGATAGACTTGACTTGACTTCATCAAGACCAGGGGTCAGAGCTGGGAGGGAATACTCATTACCCTAGGGAGAAGAGAAAAGACAGCTCTCTAACTGATGGATTAGAAGAAAGGGAAGAGCAGGCAGATGGAGGGGAGTAAAGGTTGGGAAGAGGCACAATGCCGTCCCCGCACAGATGGAAGCAAAGAAGAGATAAATAAAGCAAACGAAGAGCAAGATTTGGCCAGAGCTGCCAACTTCCTGATGAATATACAAGTTCTCTCCCTCAGGAAACAGATCCATCCCGGTTTATTTAGGGTGACTGCCTTTACTCCCAACAGGCAAGCCACCTTAGATAAAACTAGAGATCGGATTCGAAGACCGGCTTATATTTTGAAGAAAATGTGAAAATCATAATCCTTCTTACTCTCCACAGAAAGAAGCATTCTCCAATCCACTCTTGGGATCCTTTTTTTTTTTTAAACCACCTCTCTTCTTTTCTCCCCAACCCTTGTGCATTGGGGTATGAAATTGGGGTGGGGGCAGGCCACATGGCTAACAGAAGGGTGGGAGGGGGAGAATTCATTGCATCTGAAAGGATGCCCTGTCCAAGAGGCACTGGTAATTGCCTTTTTATTGTGGTAGCCTCCAAACCAGATGCAGGCACCAGAGAGACATTTTTTTTAAAAAAGCAGGAAAAAGTTGTTCTGATTAATATTACGTTAAATTAAAACTGATTTTCTTCTCTCTCCCTCTCTCTTTTTGCTTTGTGGTGGGTTTTTTTTCTCCCCCTGTCCGTATTTCTCATGCTAGTTCCTTATGAGCTACTTTTCTTCTGCTTCCAACCCCCCTCTCTGGCCTAGTCGTTTCCAATTCCTTCTTGTATTGATTTTTCTGTAGAAATCAGTTTTGTAATTAGCTGCAAATTAGGCTTTCTGTTGGGGGTGAGGCTACCCCTGATTTATCACTGGAGTAATTCGCTGTGATTGGAGAGAAATTAAAATGAACTCAATTAGGCTTTGGATTTGTTTTATGGGCCCCATTCAGAGTTTCTGGAGGAAGAATGACTGGGCTGGTATTTAATAGTCTAATGAAAGTAAATAAAGGTTATTCATTGTAATAAACTCAGAGACTCCGGATAGCAGAAACCCAAAGCTGGCTTCAACTTTAGTAGTTGGTTTTACTGCTTGAGGTGGGATTTAAAAGCCTTTGATTTTTGTGTGTGAAGACAAATCACTTTGGAGATAAATTGCAAATCCAGGAGACAGGAAATGCAGGAGGGCCTTTTCAGAGCTTGGGTTTGATTTCAAGCAATGGGGAAAAACCTGGTTCCTTCTGGATGAGGCTTCCATGGCTTGGGCTGACCAGGAAAAAAAAGAAAAAGGAAGGGTAAAATGTATAATGCATAATAGTGTATTATGACTAATTTCTCCCTGGATTTCTTTCTGCTATTAGGGAGGGTACATCGTGCATCCACTTGGCATAGCACGAAATACACTTCAATAGAAAAATCTGATTTTTTTTTCTTAATAAACTGCAGGGTTTGTTAAACTAATATACAGTAGTGGTCAAAATTGTGGAAACCTTTTGGGAAAAGTGTCTTTTTCAGGTTTGATGCCTAATAACCCCACTTTTTTTTGTGAGTTTCAAGATAATCCTATTCCATTGCTAGAATGGCCTGGGAATATCCCAGACCTTCACCCAATTGAAAATCTATGGAGCCGACTAAAGAAACTTGTTCATCAGAAGCGACCCAGCATTAAAACTCAGTTCATAGAAGCAATCATTCAATCTTGGTTTTACATTATAACAGCTGCAGAACTAAAAGACTTGGTTCACTCCATGGGAAGACGTTGTAAGGCTGTAATTTCTGCTAAAGGTTACCCAACTATTAACTGACATGGTGATCATTTTTGTATATCTCATTTTTTTTCTACGCGTTTTACCTTTCTTCTTTATATTGTAATTGCTATTCTAATAGCAAATCCTTCATAAAAGTTATTGCATTACATTCTTGATTAAATTATCTTTCCATTGATATATAATTTTATGGCACTACTCCCCAAAAAAAAAAAGTGGTGTTATTAGCTAATTTTAGAAAATACTTTTCCCAAAAGGTTTCCGCAATTTTGGCCACTACTGTATGCAGTTCAACTTCAGCATCTTTTCTGTTCAAAGTTTAAACTTGGTTTCTTCTTTTATTGTAAGTTTTATTTCAAATAAGTTAGACATATTGTTTACTGTTATATACAGGAACACTAGGAGTAGCAAGACTCATAGTAACTGTATAATATGCAGTTCTAAACTAATTTTTAAAATTTTAAAAAGGATAAATTATAGAATATAGGAAGTATTAAATATTAATGTATTAAATATTCATTTACTATAAGATTTTATACAAATACTCTCTGAATAGCACTACATATATATATATATATATATATATATATATATATATATATATATATATTTTCAAGGACCAATTTTCAAACTTTTCCTTCCCTTCCATATGTACACTGCCTAATCTCATGATTTTAGGAGGCTTACAGTATGTAAAGCTAAGCATATCAATAAAATAATGAATCTTACAAGAAGACACTTCTGACTTTGGGGCAAGTTGCTCCAGAGAGAGAGAAGACTATCACTCAGAAAGTTCTTATTTTTTAAAGTTCTATGCAACTGTGGAATTTACTGTATCTATTGTGGAATCTATATGGGGAAACCATATAATAAGAAGTACATTGTCTTGTAGGTGTAGCAATGTAATTTAACCCACTTAATCACATGCCTATGGTAGTGTCTCTTGTAAATAATTATTTGCAGTAAAACACAGAATACAAGGGCATATTTCTATGGATATATATATATCAGATATATTTTCAAATTCTTAAATAATGACATGGATGCTGTGTCAATGTTAGTAGCTTATGAGAGTTGGTGTACTTGCCTACAACGGTTTAAATCTGTACATGTGTGCATTTATATCTGTATATACTGTTATTTGTGTAGATCTGGATTGTAGTCAACTGTTGATGTGTTCTGCAAAGGTTTGTAAGGTTTAAAACTGGGCTGAGCCAAACATTTCTTCCACCTTTTTTCAATAATTTTTTTATTCAACTGGATAGAAAACAAGCTCCATTTAAAAGGCTTTTGGCTAGATAAGTGATAAAGTGCTAAGGAGCTCTGTGAGTCTTTCATTGTGCGATCCTCTCTCCAAGGATCTGCAGCCTCCCTGCCTAAATGAAGATACTGTGAAAGCCAGCCAGGAAGACTACAGAATGATGAGAAACTGAAAAAACTCTTATAGCAGCACCTGCTATTATCTATCTATCTATCTATCTATCTATCTATCTATCTATCTATCTATCTATCTATCTATCTATCTATCTATCTATCATCTATAAATGGCTGTGTGTGTGTGTGTGTGTGTGTGTGTGTGTGTGTGTGTGTGTGTGTTCCAGCATAACTCTGGAATGCCTCGAGCAATTTCAACCAAACTTGGTACATAGATGACTTACTCTCTGGAAACAAATACTGTGGGGATAAGACACACCTAATACTCCTCGGAGTGAATATAGCAGCTGCACTGCCCAGCTGATCAGTCCCGGAGGCTTTCTGCAGCGGCCACTTGCCACCCACTGGGCCATTCTGGATGACGGGAAGGACCGTTGCCACCAGATGGGTGTCGGCCCAGGCGGTTTCTGCGGCAGCTGCCCAAGCGCAGCCCCAGTGCCACCGGGTGCCGGATGGTGGTTACTGGTGGGCGTGAGCAGCCAAATGGATAGGGGGTGGGGCCCAAAGACTTATAATGATTTTGTGTATGATTTTACTTTATAATGTGTATATTGTACTTATACTTTTAAGAGCTGTAAGGATTGGGATAAATAAATACCCGGGCAACTCCGAGTTATCAGCTAGTTGCAAATAAAAATATGCTGTATGCCATATAAAAGTGGGCAACCTTTTGCACAAGATTTGTACAGCAGACAGCACATTTACATTATAAATTAGCTCTATGGGAATTTAATCACCATAGCCACCACCCCAGTTCTTGGAATGGTAATTTCATTTTAAGATTTATTTTAAGAATTTGCCCCTTCACTGTTGTTTCCCTGAAAGGCATGATTATTAAAATTTGTAAGAGAAGTGTATCAACAGTTATCCGTTGCAGTTATAGGGTTCCCATCAAGTTTGTTTTTTCAAATGGGTCCCACCTGCTCAGATTTGATGTGCTCTGATGCCTGAAAGACATCAGGGTAAGAAGGCCGCTCAAAGACGCGATCTAATGCTTCCAGTTGCTGTTGTGTGAAAGTATCGGCACGAAGATGCTTCCGCAAACTATCCACACTGCTCTGGGAATCGCCATTGGGGACCGAGCTTTCTGTTACTTCTGTGAGACAGAGGAAGAGATAAGGGCATTAGTGTGGCTTTTATTTGTGAAAAACAGCATAGAATCTTAGGGCTGGAAGAGACCTTTGGACATCTTCTAGTCCAACCCCCTGTCCATAACAGGAGACTTATTCCATCATGGACAAATGGTAGTCCAATCTTTTCTTGAAAACCTCCAGTGATAGAGCACTCACAATTCCTGGAGGCAAACTGTTCTGTTGGTTAATCGTTCTCACTGTCAGGAAATATCTCCTTAGTTTCAAGTCAGATCTATCTTTCATGATCTTCCATCCATTGCTTCTTGTCCTGTTCTCTGGTGATTTGGAGAATAGGTTGCCCCCCCCCCCATCTCTATCTCTAGCTCCTCAACTACTGTACCACTTATTTTATAGCTATGTATTTGGTTTTTCTTGCCTAAGTGCAGGACCTTACTTTTCTCACCACTGCTTACTTGGAACCCTGACCCAATGCTCAAGTCTGTCAAGATCCTTCTGAATGTTGATTTTATTTTCCAAAGTATTAGCAGTTCTCACCAGTTTGGTGTCATTTGCAAATTTGATGGGTACCCCTTCAATCCCCTCATCTAGGTTATTTATAAAGATGTTGAAGAGCACTGGCCCCAAGACAAAACCTTCAGGTACCCCTCTTCATGCTTCTCTCCATGTAGATGTAGTTCCATTGAGAATTACACACTGAGCACAGTTGGTTAGCCAAGTGCAAATCCATCTTGTGGTGGTATTTACTACCCCACATTGTTCTATCTTACCACATCCCATGACCTCTTTCAATCCCTGCCAATCTAGAAATTAGCTGACCCTTTCTGCCATCTCAGTCCTTATTTATTTATTTAGCTTATATGCCGCCCATCTCACTTTGAGGTGATTCTAGGTGACTTAAAATTGTTAAAGATTCTATCCTTTTCTTTCACAGAGAAAATATGCTAGCTTCAAAACCACATTTAACCCTCGGCAGAGATATTTAACTTAGAGTTTGTCCTCTATATCGATTGGTATATTTTGGCTGCAAGGAATTATAACCTAGTGGTGAATGTTTGACAACTTGCCAGGGTTAAAAAATAAATCTACTATAGGCAGCACAAGCAAGTAAATAAATAAATCTGGGGTGTAAAGAAACTTTTATGTGACTTGCAAACAATTTGTACATTTGAAAAGAAATAATCTTGACATTTCTCACACCATTCCCATGCCATTGTTTTCATTACTCTTCGAAAGAAAAATATCTCAATTTTTCAACAGGAGCAGCTCTTATGCAACATCTGAAAAACCATATCACCTAAGATAAGACATACTCAAAGTGATTAAAAAAAAATATTTGACTTAACTCAAGATGCGATCCTTCTTATATGCAAAAGAGTACATGTGCAACCTCACTAGGCAGACTGATCTGATCTGTGTATGTAACACCATAGTACCTTTTGTTATAGATTCCAAGTGTAAGATCTCTTGATACCATTTTAGCTACACAAAGCAAAACTTTTTGAGGGAGAAATTATTTAGCATACATCCTACCTAATTTGCACTATTCTTGCCTTGAACTAAAAGTATTGCGGTTTCTCACTTTTACTCCACTCCTCTGCTCACAATATGCCACCAGGTTTGAAATTCTGGGCTTGGACAGCCTGGAAATATGCCGCCTACGGTCTGACCTAAGTATAGTACACAAAATTATCTGCTACAACATCCTACCTGTCAATGACTTCTTCAGCTTCAACCACAATAATACACGGGCAAACAATAAATACAAACGCAAGGTAAACCACTCTAAACTCAATTGTAGAAAATACGACTACAGCAACATAGTGGTCAATGCCTGGAATGCTCTTCTCGACTCCATTGTTACATCCTCAAACCCCCATAGCTTCAACCTTAAACTGTCTACCGTGGACCTCACCCCATTCCTAAGAGGTCTGCAAAGGGGCCTGCATAAGCGCACCAGCGTGCCTACTGTCCCTGTCCATTGTCTCATTTATTTGTACTCATTACCTATACTCATGCCCATGTTTATTCATTTCATTTCATTTTCATTTTATTAGATTTGTATACCGCCCTACTCCCGAAGGACTCAGGGCGGTGAACAGCCATAAAATAAAACATATAAATACAAAATTTAAAATAGAGATAAAACAAATTAAATAAATTTGGCTGAACCATTTTAAAACCCCAATAATTTAAAACCAAATTTAAAATTCCCACTTAAAAGAGGAAAAGTTTAGGTCAGGCCGGCTTGCTGGAATAGGAACGCCTTAAGCGTGCGACGGAAGGTACGCAGATCCGGAATCCTCCATATCTCGGGGGGGAGCTCGTTCCAGATAGTAGGTGCCCCCACAGAGAAGGCTCTCCCCCTGGGGGCCGCCAGTCAACACTGTTTGGCCGACGGCACCCGGAGGAGCCCCTCTCTATGGGAGCGTACTGGTCGGTGGGAGGCTATTGGTGGTAGCAGGCGGTCCCGTAAATAGCGAGGTCCTAAGCCATGGAGCGCTCTGAAGGTGATGACCAAAACCTTGAAGCGCACTCGGAAGACCACTGGGAGCCAGTGCAGCTCGCGCAGGAGAGGCGTTACATGGGAGCACCACGTCGCTCCCATCACCACCCGCGCGGCCGCACTCTGCGCCAGTTGGAGCCTCCAAGTGCTCCTCAAGGGGAGCCCCATGTAGAGAGCGTTACAATAGTCCAGACGGGAGGTGACGAGGGCATGAGTGACCGTGCGTAACAAGTCCCGATCCAGAAAGGGACGCAACTGGCGGATCAGGCGAACCTGATGAAAAATCCTCCCGGTCACGGCCGTCAAGTGCTCTTCTAAAGACAGCCTTATACCTTATACTTATACCTGTTATCTCATACATGTTTGACAAACTAAATAAATAAATTAAATAAATAAATTTAAAAAAATATAACACATCTGTAAAAGAGAAGAAAATTTCATATTCTCTTAATAGTGAATATAAAAATAAATTTAAAATCTTAAGTGTCTACAGCAGGGCTGTCAAACTCCCAGCGTGCTGGCTTGAGGCATCACGTGGTTTAGCGAAGGGGGGGGGGGGAAGTCCCAATGTCATGTGACACCGCCGTAACGATGTGAGTTTGACATCCCTGGTCTACAGCATATTCTTGCTATGCCCATTATGTAGATGTAATCCAGAGAGTTAAAAGTAAGTCCTGACTTCAACTGACCCAGTTTGTGGGGGCAATAAGCTGACTTTGTATAAATATACAAAAGGATGAAGGCTATTGCTGAGCACATTGTAAGACGCCCTGAGTCTTCGGAGAAGGGCGGCATATAAATCAAATTAAAAAACAAAAACAAAAAAAAACCCTGAAAGGTAGAAGAAACTAATTGCATTATGCAAGCAATATCCATCTTCTATAAACAGCATGTGGTTTTTTCTACTGCAACCAAAGGAAATTCTCGGGATGCAGATCATATATCCCTCAACTTTACTACTCTGTTTTGATCTTCCTGGCTATATGTGGTTTTGCAGTATGATATAATCAATACTGCATTATATACTGTAAACTAATACAATAAGACCATGGACAATGTTATATATTGATTAGTACAAGTTGCCAACAAGCCTGCAGCCTCCTCCTTCTTTTCCTTCTCCAACACTCGTGCGGAAGGGGAAAGAGGGAGGGGAAGAAGCTGTTTGATCTAATCACTGATTCAAAATGTTCAAAATCCAAGAGTTCTACTAAATCTAAATCTGAAGGATACAAATTTTAGTTCACCACCATGTTGCCCTGAAAATAAGACTCTGTCTTATATTTTTTGAACCCCAAAATAAGCGCTTGGCCTTATTTTTGGGGAGGTCTTATTATTTTGGGGCTCATGGAGCAAGATGGGGCTCCTCTTGCCATCATAGCTGATTTCCAGCTCTGTGTTTAAATATTTTCGGGGAGGGCTTATTTTCAGGGGGAGGCTTATTTTAGCGCATGCCCTCAAAAGCCTGATTGGGCTTATTATCAGGGAATGTCTTATTTTCAGGGATAGATGAATGAAACCTTTGTCCCAGAGAGAAATCCTGCGAGAACAATTGAACAGTTTTTTCTGGCATTATTGCTGAGTCATGTATTGCTGTAGGATTCTTTTTTCCTTAACTGTGCTCCAGATTGCTATTTCGACATCCAGAGACTTCTGATAAGTTTTACAAGATGGAATAATAGGACCAAGGATCAGAGTGGAAACAGCTGACATCTATTCACAATTTCATTTTGGGGAACTTTTCCTATGTCTTCCTGTCCTACTATTCTTCCGCTTGGTGCTCTACCTGATCCCTTGCTCTGAGCTGTTCCCTGCTTGCATTGAACAACAATGCAGTAACGTATATGCCCCATAATCTATTTTTCTGCTTTACTTCCATACAATTGCCTTCATCTGCTCTTCAGCTGGTTTGGGCGAACTGGTAGCAGCAACTGCTACCATTCTTTGGTACAAAGTTTAGTTGACCAATTGATGTCTCTCTATTATCCCAAACAAGACTTTCATTGGATAAAAGGAAGTTTCCCTTTCGCCATTGGTAGTAACAGTTCTGGATATCAGATTCTTTCCTGAATTTAGTAGCAGGATAATTCAGCATTAAGAATTTCTCATAGATTGCCTACACAAACTGCCAAAGTGCTTTCGCTGTCTGACAAAATATTTATGTGTCAATCAACAGGTCATGTGAAAGCTTTTCCCTACATAAAAGCATCTTATATTTAAAATTCAGCATGTTATTAAAAAGTCAAACTAGCGTTTTAGACTTTAACAGAGCTAATTTCAACAAATTTAAGAGAGAGATTAGGAAACATTCCATGGATGGAAATCCTAAAGGGAAAAAACAATTCAATAATGTTGGAAACTCTAAAAAATAAGATACCACAGAAGAAAAAAAAAAGCACCTCAGATAAAACCAGCATGGCTGCTTAAAGAACCTTCTGAGAGAGAGAGAGAAAGTAGAAGTATAAAACTTGAAAGAGAGACACATAACCAAAGCAGAATACC